TGTTATATCGGATTGCGTTATATCGGGGTAGAGGCGTACTATTCATTCAACTCAGATTTGTCACTATCATCTGCAATAGGTGGTCTGCAAGATGAATGGAGTTATTTAACAAAGATGTATTCATTACTTCATTGGTTTCCATATTTGCTTTAAAGCAAAATTTAATTAAAAAACATGGATTTTATGACCAGATCATAGTAATTGATTGGAAAGTATGTGAAAGATAAGTTGAACTCTGATTTGAGATTTTTCCATGCAGTTTTATTTTAAATTGCAGTCTTTTCTTTTTCATAGTGTCCACAAAATGCTGTGTGCTGCACAAACACAAAAGGAGGGACAGTCCCTGCCCTAAAGAACTTACCCTATTTTAGTTCAAATTTAGGTTTAAAATTTCCTTGTTTTTTATTTGTATAAATATAAATTCAGTACCATTATAGATGAATTGTTGTGCTTTTCTTAAAACAGGATATGTAGAGCCAATACAGACAATGAATGATGTGATAGCTCAGTTAGATACTGTTGTCAGTTTTGCTCATGTATCAAATGGAGCACCTGTGCCGTACGTCCGTCCGGTCATTCTGGAAAAGGGACAAGGAAGAATTGTGCTGAAAGGTTCCAGACACCCTTGCATTGAAGTTCAAGATGACGTAGCATTCATCCCCAATGATGTTAACTTTGAGAAGGACAAGCAGATGTTCTATATTATTACTGGTAAAAACTAATTTATATGCAATATTTTCAGTTTTCATTTAAGCTCAAGAAGCAATGTCAATTTTGAAGTATTTCTTGTGAAAGATGTTTTTAAAAAATAAGTCTGTCAAAACCATTCAGTGCTTTATAGGTATGGGGGAAGAGACCATTTAGTAATTTACTTATACCAGTGTTGGCATTTGGGGTAGGTTTTGAAAAAAAGATGAGACTGGCTTTCATAAGCCAGTTTCACCACCGCTATATTTTTGTGATGGTTATGGTTAATAAGCATGTATTTTAAAACAAAAAGTGGCCACAATGTACTTATAAAATGTTTCCTTCTGTGCTGGGTAGTTCATACACACGGACTCACCAGTCTTCAAAATGACTAGTCAGAGAACTGGTCAGCATGATTGTAACTAGAGATGCGCTTGTGGGAACTCTGGTTATGCCATTTGGGTTCTGGTGACATTTAAACAGGATTGTTAGGGTAGAGGAGAGAGAGGTCTTACAAATATTTATAAATAGATACTAGAACCATAGTAAATCCCATAGCACTTTAAAAGATGATACAGTGTATGTGTTCACAATTTCTGTGGCGTTGCCATACACTTGAGTCAGCGTTATAAGTTAACACTTAGGGGAATGTTAAATCTCTCTATGTTAATTTAACATAGAATGGAGTACTTTAAAAGGTAGTATGACGTAATATCCTTAATAGATTAGCGATATAGTAAACTCTTGTTTTCGTAACAAATTCTAAGGTGAAATCATTCTTAATACCAACAACGTGATTGCCACTGTACATACATGGAGGAAGACATGGTTTCTGCCTTGAAAGATCCCAGAATCTAACTTGAAATGCATCATAATTCATTGCATTGTATTGCCATTCTTGTTATGATAATTAGATAGGCCATTCTATTTGAAAATGTTGTCTGCAGTCCTTGTTCAGAAGTTATTGCTAATGTGACTTACCAGGGAGATGCATAAACGTCATATTGATAGTGTAAGTGCTGATTACTTTACAGGTAGACTTTACAGGAGCAATACATTTTAATATGTCCAGTAGACAGTGTAGTTTCTATACAGTGTATAGATGTGTAGTTTGTCTAAAATAGTATCTATACTGTATATATGTACATTTCCTGTAATATGAATAATCTGCTATATTTTCATACTCTTCTGTTACCAGAGTGGATAAAAATCAATGGATTAAAAAGTATGTTTGTGGGGGGAATGTAAATTAAACACTTCTTTTTAAAATCTGTTTAAATTTGAAATTGACAACCTATGTTAAGGCCTAAACTTACCAGAATCTATTACAATCACGTACATAAAGAAATGCTGCAGCAGTGAGCCCTCCTCAAATTTTGGTTTGTTTGTCTAGCGGGCGCAGAGAATGTTTTTCTTCATTTGGAGTAGTTCATTCAAAGACGAGAAACCAACTGGATGTTGAAAAATCAGGAAAGCCTGTTTTCCTCCTCCAGTCTACGAATAAAAATTAGGTGGGAGAGGAATGAAGTCTGTTAATTCTGAAAACTTGAAAGACATGGAACCAGATTTTCAAAGGGGTGTGTGTATATAGGCACCCAAGAAGCAGATAGGTGTCTAGTAGGATTTTCAAAAGCTCCTGAGCAAGTTAGATGACCAGAAACAATCACCAATTCACTAACTACAGTTAATGTTTCCTTTGTTTAATAAATCACTTTTTAAAATAGTTTTATATGGAGCAGATTGTGGAGGAAGTAATTGATCTTGTAACTTAAAGCAGACTGCATTTATTGTTGAAAGGAAACACTATCAAGACTGATGAGCATAAAATTAAACCCTTCTAGCTTTGCTTTAGTTTACCAGTATGTAAGTGCACTTTAGATTGTTGCTCATATTTTTGAGAAGTCGTTATTTTAAAAAAAAAAAATCTTCTTTAGGAAGAACTGCAGTCAAGTATTCGCAGTTGCAAGCAAGTCCATCCATGAAGCTGTGCTACTTGTTGCAGCTGTGGTTATATAGGGAGGAAGAAGTTTTTAAATGTCTATTTTAGGTTAAATTTAGCTTCAGACCCATTAAGCTTAAGAATCCCTTAAAGCTGTACATAATGTACAAAGAAGAGGAAGCTAATTTATTAATTTCTTGTCAAAATTAATTTCTTAGGTCCTAACATGGGAGGGAAATCAACATACATTCGCCAGGCTGGAGTGATAGTTCTTATGGCCCAAATTGGGTGCTTTGTACCATGTGACTCAGCGGAAGTGACTATTGTGGATTGTATTCTGGCTCGGGTAGGAGCAGGAGACAGTCAGTTGAAAGGTGTCTCGACTTTCATGGCAGAAATGTTAGAAACTGCATCAATTCTTCGGTAAGAGCTGTACCTCCTTTGTGTTTCATCAACGGGGGAGGAGGCTACCTTAAAGGATTTCTTTATATTGTACCATTTTTGTTTCTATTACTTAGAAAATATGTAACTTATCACCATAGATACTGATGCTCCTAGATGAGAACAGCCTAAGTGTTTTACTTAATGTGTGCTCATCTTCATTCACAAATTTTCATGTGAGCCTGATAATCATGTCTCTTGCATAACAAGAGGGGAGGGACCTGCTAAACCCAGGGTTGTGAGTTCAATCCTTGAGGGGGCCATTAGGGATCTGGGGCAAAAATCTGTCTGGGGATTGGTCCTGCTTTGAGCAGGGGGTTGGACTAGATGACCTCCTGAGGTCCCTTCCAACCCTGATATTCTATTATATCATTTCTTTTAGTGTGTGTGTGTGTGTGTGTACGTGTGTGTGTACAGTTAACTATTTGCACTTGGCATTAGACTAAATTTTGAATTTCAGAGAGCTTGCACTATCTAAACTTTGAAAAAATGTTTTTATTTTAGGACAGCATCTGAAAACTCTTTAATAATCATTGATGAGTTGGGAAGAGGAACTTCAACATATGATGGATTTGGGTTGGCATGGGCTATTTCAGAATATATCGCCAGCAAAATTTGTGCCTTCTGTATGTTTGCTACACATTTTCATGAACTGACAGCACTTGCTAACCAAGTGCCAACTGTGAATAATTTACATGTTACAGCACTAACCACTGATGAGATGCTGACTATGCTTTACCGTGTCAAGAAAGGTGAGATCTTTTAAATGCTGAACAAGATAAAACTATCAGGTGCCATGGGAGAGGAAAAGGGAGTCTTTCCTGCAAAAAGACCTGAAACTACCTTTTCTATTTTGATAGTAGGTCTCAAGCTGTTCTTAGCCATCACTAATGATTTGGTCCATTTCTCTCTGAAATCGGATACCTACAGAGAGCTGCATCTCTGGGTGAATACAGATGAAAATCAGTATATTTTGGTAATGAAATGAGTTGTTTTCTGATCCCCAGACATAGTTCTACAACACAAATTAAAGCTTTTTGTCCTGTTTTTAATATTGCATTATCAAAAGGAGAAACCCTTCACAAATAATTTCACAGCTCTGCAATTTTCTAATTAACATACTACCTACCTATAATGACTCTGGCATATTTCATGCCTTTTAATTTTATTTTAGAGCAAAAAATTGGAACCTGTTTCTACAGGGAGGAATAGGTGTTAGAGTTTAGCAGAACAGTTCAGTAAAATGTTAAAAAAAAATAAAATAAAACAGTAAGCTCCAGATACATATATTTTAATTAACAAATGGTTCAATGTGTGGAGGCATAATCACTGAAGATACTGGCTAACTTATTTATGCAACAATTCATATCTAGCAAAAAGTTATTTTGCCCTTTTTTAAAGGAACTGGCAAATGAAGTTGTAAGCCCAAAAGCAAGGATTTTTAATGACTCCATAAACTCGGGTACCGTATCACTGGAGAATAAAAATATAGTACCTATATTTAAGAAAGGAGAAAAAAAGTAATCCAGGAAACTACAGGACCGAAAGGCCTTAGAATAAATTTTGAAAGAGAAAAGTTATTAAAGACCTACAGCTAAATGGTAATTGAGGTAAAATACAACATGGTTTTTATTAAAGGTAGATCATGCCTGACCAACCTGATCTTTCTTTGAGAAGATAATGGATTTTCTAGACAAAGGAAATGCAGTAGATTGAATCTACCTGGATTTCAATAAAGCATCTGATACAGTTCCATAATTAAAATTAATGTGAGAATCGAAAGATGAGTAAGGAACTGGTTAAAGGGGAGACTACAATGGGTCATGCTGAAAGGTGAACTGTCAGGCTGAAGAGAGATTACTAGTGGAGTTCCTCAAAGATCGGTCTTGGGACCAATCTTCTTTAATATTTTCACTTACAACCTTAGCACAAGAAGTGGGAATGTGCTAATAAAATTTGCACATGACACAGTTGGGAGGTTGCACATGACACAGTTGCCAATACAGAGGAGGACCACAATATCATACAAGGAGATTTGGATGACGTTGAAAACCGGAGCAATAGATATGGGATGAAATATAATAGTTCAGAGTGCAAGGTCATGCACTTAGGGACTAACAACAAAATTTTTTGCTATAAGCTAGAGACTTATCAGTTTGAAACCCAGGAGAAGTCCTTGGTGTATTGGTCAATCACAGCTGTGAAAAATGCTAATATAATCCTAGGATGCATCAGGCGAGGTATTTCCAGTAGAGAGAGGGAATCATTATTACAGTACAAGGTACTGATAAGGCCTCATCTGGAATACTGTGTGCAATTCTGTTCTCCATTGTTTAAAAAAGATTAATTCAAACTGGAACAAGTGCAGAGAAGGGCTACTAGGATGATCCAAAGAATGGAGAACCCTACCTTACAAGAGGAGACTTAAGGAGTTTGGCTTTGTTAGCCTAACAAAACAAAGGCTGAGGGGAGATCTGATTATCCCTCTGATGTATTTATAGTGAGAAAACACCAAGTAGGGAGAGGAGTTAAGTTAAGGGCCAATCTTGGCCCAAAAACAAATGGAAATAAATTGGCTATCAACAAGATGGGAAGGGCTCTGAGTTACTACAGAGAATTCTTTCTCAGGTCTCTGGCTGGTGGGTCTCACCCACAAATTCAGAGTCTAACTGATCACCGTATTTGGAGTTTGGAAGGAATTTTCCCCTAGGTTGGATTCGCAGAGACCCTGGGGTGTTTTGCCTTCCTCTGCAGTGTGGGGCATGGGTCACTTGCTGGTTTGAACTAGAATAGTGGCGTCTCTGATTTGAAGTCTTTAAATCAAGTTTTGAGGACTTGAGTAACTCAGCAAGAGGTTAGGGGCCTATTACGGGAGTGAGTGGATGAGGTCCTATGGCAGGGATCGGCAACCTTTGGCACGCAGCTCGCCAGGGTAAGCACCCTGGCAGGCCGGGCCAGTTTGTTTACCTGGCACGTCCGCAGGTTCGGCTGATCGCGGCTCCCACTGGCCAAGGTTCGCCGCTCTAGGCCAATGGGGGATGCGGGAAGCGGCACGGGCCGAGGGATGTGCTGGCCGCCGCTTCCCGCAGCCCCCCTTGGCCTGGAGTGGTGAACCGCAGCCAGTGAGAGCCGTGATCAGCCGAACCTGCGGACGCAGCAGGTAAACAAACTGGCCCGGCCCGCCAGGGGGCTTACTCTGGCGGGCCACATGCCAAAGGTTGCCGATCCCTGTTCTATGGTCTGCGATGTGCAGGAAGTTAGACTAGATGATCATGATGCTTCCTGTGGGCCTTAGTCTGAGATGAAAGGAATATGCCATGATGTATCAGCCATCAAAATGTATAAAATAAACCTCCAAGTTCCTTCATAACTTTCTGTGCATATTTTTGGACTTATATCTTGCAGAGCTCCATACCAAAGTGCTTGGGTGAAACTGAGGAAAGTACTAAGATACCGAAGACAAAAATTATTGTAACTTAAAGGAATGTCCTGTACTTTCTTTGCACTATTCTATGCAGGGCTGTAGGCAAATAACACATTTCCTAGGATGTTATCAAACATAGACT